TTCATTTGCATATGGTTGCTAATTTTGATGCATAAGTTCATAAGAAATATTGGAAAATTAGAAATGACATTTGTTTCAACTATTATAACATTTACATGGGCTACCTCAGGCATGATTCAGTTAGATGCCTTGAACAATTCAATTGTGAGTTTGTCGCTTTGAACCAGTCTAGGAGGTCTTGACGAGGAACTAAAAATGTTGGCTTGGTCTAAGTTGTTTTATTTTTTGTCCAATTAGTAAAAGTTGAGTTATTTAAGTGACTTAATTGGTGCTTCCAATACACGGGTCAAATTTTATAATGAAACATATGGTTTTCAAATATTTGTCTTCTGCAGACGATGAGGAAGTCGACCAATGTTGTCTCATGTATTTGCGTAATATTTTTTTTTTTTTTGATAGAAAGCAGGTAAAAGCTGAGACCCTTTATCCCAAGTCTATTTTGCTACTAAGTACTTATCATTCTTTATGGAAAGCAAATTTGCCCTCTCCAAATCTTGCGCATTCCAGAGAACCTTTGCATTGGACAGCACCATCTTTGGGCCAATACAAGGTAAATTTTGATGGTGCTATTTCAAAGCAAGGACAATTGTATGGAGTGGGAGTTGTAATTTATGACTTCATGGGTGACTTCTTAGTTGGTCTTGTTGTAAATAAAGAAGTATTTTAAAAGATTTTGTCCTACATTGAAAAACCAAGGAGACTCCTAGTCATTTTATTGTACTTAGTTTCTTATTGGATTTGTGTTAGATTGGCAATTAATGTGGGCTCGCGCGTAAAAGAGCGAGGTTGAGTTGGGCTGATTTAGTACAAACTAATGGATTTACACCCCCATCCCCTACCTTAAACATGGCCTAAGATGGTTTTACTCCTGTTATATTTTGCAGGAAGTAAAAAATTATTTTTACTTTTTACGTTACAAATCTGGATAGAGTTTGACTCTTTCCACCAAGAAGATAAGATGATTTTGCCTCTTAACATTTCTTTCTCTGCTATTATATTTTGCAAGAAGTAAAAAATTATTTTTACTTTTTACGTTACGAATCTTGATAGAGTTTGATTCTTTCCACCAAGAAGATAAGATGATCTTATCTCTTAACTTTCTTTTGTGGTTACTCAAGCACAACGTTCTCTTGTTAACGACCATTCTTTTGTTAACATTTATTTTGTTACACAAAGCCAGGCACACGTTTTTTGTTACAGAAAATGAGACAGTGCTATTAAGCACACCTCAAGCTTTCTTGTCTGCAATTTTAATAGCATTGTTCGGATTATTTTTACAACAGGTCTAGCTAAACAATTTCATGGTGCTATGCATGCTGATCTTGTGGATGCTATAGTTGCAACTCGCAAGAGAAGCTATTTTGCTGGCTAAGTTAATCATGTTTCTAGCTTTCTCAATTGAAGGTGACTCTTTGTTAATCGTCACCTTTGTTAATCATGTTTCTACCTACTCTTTGAGGAGGTAGACTTGTTTGCTATAGGTCTAGTAATTGATGATGTTTGTGAGGCTACGTTAGATATTTAAATTACTTATGTCCATTAGGTTTTAAGATATTGTAATAAAGTTGCTCATGCGTTAGCAAAATATGTCAAATCGGGCTCTTTAGTTGACTCCTTGTGGTATTCACTACCAGATTTTTTTTGGGGTCAAAACGGTAACGTCCACTACTAGATTTTTGTATATGAAATGGTGCTGGATAATTTCCGGCAACTCTAGTTATTTGCAAAAAATTTTCAATTACGATAAAATGAGGCTATCTTGTGTACATAGAAGTCTTAGTTATTTGCTGAAGGGTTAATAACACTTTGCTCCCCTGAACTATAGGGGCAGTCACACTTTGCCCCCCTGAACAATATATATATATATACATTTGGGATAATTTCAGAAACCTCCCTTGAGATTTCATGAAATATCATCTAGCTCCCTTAAGCTTTTCAAAATCTCACTTAGCACCCTTGAAGTGATAGTAGGGCCATATAGTAATATCAAAGGTAATGAATTGTCAATAATACCCTCATATTTAAATTTTCTGAACTTGTTTTTCTTTCTCTAAATTTCCTACTTTTCTTTAACAATGTTTATACATACATACATACATACATACATATATACATACATACATACATACATACATACATATATGTATGTATGTATAATTGAATTGCAAATGTCAATGAAATATAGGATTTAATCAATAAAATATTCAATGCATTTGGAGAAGAATAATTGCAGGTTCTTTTATTTTTTCCCTTTTTTGGTGTTTCACAACTTTATTTATTTATTTATTTATTCCTATTCATGTAGAGCGCAAGTAAACGTTAAACCCTCAAAACATGTGAAAAATTTTCTTCCACCTTTGCCCTTAGTTTTTTTTATTCACACTTTGTTCCTCACTTCAACAAAAAAAAAAATGAACACTTTGTTTAATAATTAACAACTCTATAAATAATATATTGAACCAGTAAGAAAGTTATACTATAATTTTAATATTTAATAATAACATACTTTATGCTAAAACATTATTGATGAAAAGTTCATATATATATATATATATATATAGTTCTTCAAAATAAACTTTCTATAATAAGTCTTTACAATGTAATTTTGTAAGTTTTTTTTTCAAGATAGAATTAAAAACATTTATAGTTAAAATTATGCTATCAATACTTCATATGCTATAATATATTTTGAAATATTTAAAATTAACTTTACAATATTTAACTTCAAAGAATAAAAAAATGAGTTATATAAGAATTTAACAAATTTGATATTAACAAAACCTGTTGACAAAACATTATCAACAAAAAATTTAAAAGCCCTTGTCAAAAACTAAGCATCAAAAGATGATGCTCAATATAAGTTTAAACATAAAAAATAATAATTATGTGCATTTATTTAATTAACCTAAAAGATATAAATATATTTTTAAATTACAATATTTGCTCCAAGAGTAAGAAAGGGTATATGTATTTTGTTGATATAAATTATTAAAATTTTACATAACACTTTTTTTAAGGTTAAAGACTTGAAAGTTTATTTTACATATTTCAAAAGATACTATGGCACATGAGATTGTTTACAATATATTTTTGACTATAGAAGTTTTTAATTCTATCTTGAAGAAAACTTACAAAAATACATTGCAGGAAATACTGACAGTAAAGTGATTATATAGAAAGTTTATTTTAAAGAATTATATATACTTGTGGATGAGGCACACTCTATGTGTGTACATATTTTAGGAAAAAAATAAATAATGAAAACAACGGTACTGACATGGAGGTTTAGATAAACATGGAGAAATCAAATCAAAGCAACTGTATTGACGTGGAAAGAGGAAAACTATGGTTTTAAGTTCTCAATTGTAACTATATTGTGGCCATCTTGCCCTTAATGATAAGGGTAAAATTGGCAATTCAAAAAATGACATATTTTTTTTAACACAAACCCTACGCACACTTTATACATAGATAGATATATGGTATTTTTCATAAAAAATATTTTGGTGTAAAGTATGTTAGTTTTAAGTAGTACAATTATACTCAACTTTCTTATCAGTTCAATATATAATATATAGAGTTGCTAATTATTAAAGTAAAGTGTACATTTTTTTTTGGTTGAAGGGGGCAAAGTGTGAATAATATTAAGGGCAAAGTTGGAAGCAAAATTTCAAGTGTTTTGAGTGCCTAACATTTACTAGAATAGGGGGATAAAGTGTTGTCGCACCCCATTTTCTGAAAATAAAATTAGAAAAGGTGTTTAAAAAAATGAGTTTTTGATATTAGAAAATAAATAAAGAAAAAGGGCCTAAAATGAGATTTTAAAATTCTCGACGGTTTGGACCCAAAATAAAGTCTAAAAGGGTTTTTTAAAAAAATAGGTGTCACCACTTGGTATTGAATTTAGATGTACCAAATCACCCAAAATATATTTTTAAATGAAAAAAATAAATAAAACCCCTTTTAGATTACTCAAAGTCTTTGAAAAAAATAAAAGAAAAGAGTTCGAGAGTCACGGTTGAAGAAACAAAAGGCAAAATTTTGATAGGCTCAAACCTAAGACACCTTTTTAACCTAACCAAGGCTAATTGCGAGATTTAGTCAAAAATTTTCCTAATCTAATATATGAAGTTTATCACATTTGAATGTTTCTGTATAGATGCAAATCTTGACCTAAAAGATATCCGGAGGGTTGAAATGTCTCTTCAAAGTTTAATTGGTGTAAATCACATTAATTGTGATGCCCAAAAATGATTCTTAGAAGAGGTCACGAAAAATTCAAAAGATGGGACTCAAAAGAAATTAAAATATATAGATAAATATACATGACCTAAAAAAGGAAAATGCAACATAACGGGTACGAGATACTAAAATTCGTGACTAAATTTTTCTTCTTATAGAGGGGATAAGATCGTGCTAAGATTAAGAAGTCATACTTGTTCATTTTCCATATTTGAAGGGTGACTTTCCTAACCTAGTCAAACAAACGTACTAACCTATTTCTAATTTCCTAAAATGAGATGCAATTCTAAATGGTATGGTCCAAACATATAGAGGGTAAGGGAATAATAGTAGTGAAAATGTCATGCAAAAATGAAAATAACCTAAAAATAGGAAAAAATGCATGAAATGTAATAAATGTCTCGCAAAAGTGTGAATCTAGCGTGAAAATGGCCTAAAGGGTCTAGCGTTGGACTAGTCCATTTCTATAAATTCTCACTGGCGTTGGACTAGTGAAAAATTGGGGAGGAAGGCCACAATTAACATTGGACTAATATGGTGACGTCATGTATTTATTATAAATAAATAAAGTATATAAAGTATAATTAAAGCAAATAAACATATAAAACACATAGAACACATAACACATAAGCATAATATCTAGATGTAAAACCTTAAAGAAAGCAAATAAACACATAAGCATACAAACACACAAGCATACAAACAAATAAAAACTAGCTATTACATATGACGCCTTAAACTATAATCTAGGAGGGGAATTTTTGGAAATAATAAATCTATATATTACATTTATCTAATTAATTACATTTTTGGTAAAAATAAAATCTATCTATTACATGGCCTAACTAAATACATTTCTTGGACACATATCTATTAAAATTTAGCATTTAAATACCTCCCAAATAATTATCAAAAATTAAATACAACAAATTAAAACTTAAAGTGAATGAAATGAGTAAATAAAGGGAAAAACACTCAAAATATGCAATCACACATAAAACACATAGGAGCACATAAAAAAACTTAAAATAATAATAGAAAGTATCTCCCTTGAAATAGTGGTTAAATGAAGTAGAGTTTGCCCTATTTATACTCCAAAATTAACAAAATAGTCAAGGAACCAATTTAATTAACAATTTAAAAAAAAATGTAAACATGTAGCAAAATTCACTCTATTCCAAAGAAATATGAATAAACATAAAGTTCCTAAAATTCACCAATTAAATGCATCTAAATGAAGTATGATTAACAATTAAAGAAGGTAAACAATAATACTTAATAAATCAAAACCATTAGGGACTCAATTGCAAAAATTGAAAATATTTTGGGTTGAATGTATAATTCTTACAAAGATCAAAATCAAAATCAAAGAAAATGAAGTTTAGGGACAAAAATGTAATTAAAGTAAGGACCTAATTGAAAATCCAAAAGTTTTAGGACCACAATGAAATTATTTAAAAGTTTAGGAACTTAATTGCAAAGTCCGTTTCTGATTTGACCCCAAAAAAAAACGATGGGCCTTTTCTTTTCTTTTTATCGCCTTTGGTCTAGGCCGAACACTTTGGCCCAACGAACTTTGCCCACATTATTTCATTATTTCTATTGTTTCAAGTTTCAACCAACAAAGAGATTGGGCTTGAATCTCCAAACCCATGTCACAAACCCAAGGAAAACCCAGCAATTTATCAACCAGAAACCCAGCATAAGCATCAACCCATTTTGATTTATACAGCCCAACTGCAGACATCAAGCTGTTGTAGATCAAACAGAGGAAACCAACGGAAAATGCAGGAAAAGAAAGAACGAGGCTAGCTTCTGGTGGATCCAAGAATGGGTCCATCGAAAGCTCGGCCAATTCATCAAATCATCAAAACATCAGACCATCTTCAAACCTGTTGGCAAATTCGAGTCATCAAAACTAGTTTTTCAAAGCATCACGAATCATAAAAAAAAAAAAAAAATATTTAAGAACCCCATTCATGAAAGAGAAAACTCATGTAATAGTTCAAAATTTTCATGAAAAGCATTAAATGAAGTAATAAGGGAAGCTATCATTACCTATAAATGATCGGGGACTGAATTAATGTGGGAAAAACTTTAAACGATCACCTAAATTGCTGAAAACGAAGTAAGAACTTTTTGCTGCAGTTCTTTAAGGATGGTGAAAGCAGCCAGTTCAGACCTCAATCCGAAGATGTTGCAGCAGTTTTTTCCAAAAAAAATTCAACACCAAAATTTCTCTCCAACAATTAGATTGCCCAGAAACAAACACTTGCTTAGGAGAAGCTCTAAAGAGATCAGAATAGGGTCAAGAAGCTGACTGGATCATCAGCCCTTGCTCAAGAAATTTTTCAGAAAAATTTCTGCTATATTTTTCTCTCTCCCCGTTCTCTCTTTTCCACTCTTTTTCTTTCTGTTGTTTTTCCTTACATCCTCTCCTAAAAGCTGCATATTTAACTAATTAAATGGAACAGAAAACCTAAACCTAAGAGGGAGGGTTCAGATTCAAAGGGGAAGGGGGTATGTAGATGTTCTTGAGTTCATTGGATCTTTTGGACAGCTGGTATTGATAAGAATTTGATTGGTGATGTGTCTTGTACTGACCAGACTTGGGAGGCAAGGAAATGAGGAGCCAAAACGAATTTGAGAAGCTCCAAAAAGGACATAGCTGTCTGAAGTGACGAAAAAGAAAGCTGCATTTTTGCTCTCTTTTTCTTTCTTTTTTTTACAAAATTTGATTTTTCATTTCCATCTTTGCCTTTTGATTTTTCTGCAAAAACCAATCAAATAAAAATCGAAGAAAGAGAAGAACAAAAAGATTTTTCTTAGAAAAATAAAATAGAAATAAATAAAAAATAAATAAAAATAAAAAAAATAAATAATAAAATAATTTATCAGAATTTTGATGTCTACCTCTATAGTTCAGGGGGACAAAGTGTTATTTGCCCAACATAGAAAAGAAGAAACCTCAGTTCAGGGGGACAAAGTGTTACTTGCTCAACATGTAGGCTTTCAATAGGGCCTTATGATCTAGGCTTTGAAAGCCCAAGCTTGGCCCAACTAAGAAGCCATATTTGTCGTCCCAAGCACGAACCATACGAATCTCAAATTAGCATGAGCCTCGGACCGAGAAATAGACAGCCTGAATTTTGATGAAAGCATATGTTTTTATTTTATATAAAAATAAAATGGGTTAAAAGCAAAAAAATTTTCTATAGTATGCCTAATACACAGAAAAGCCTCTCGTGATTTCAAAACATATAAAACGATATCTCATGTTTTGAACTAAATTGCAAACTAAAAGAATTAATTAAACTTAATGAAAATGACGGTTTCTGCCCTTAAACTTACCGGATTCCAGAAAATGACGGTTTCTGCCCTTAAACTTACCGGATTCCATTAAATTTACCATTAAATTTATCAGATTCCGTTAAATTTTTCGTTAAGTTTACCAGATTCCGTTAAATTTAACGAATTTTGTTAGTTTGCAATTTAGTTCAAAACATGAGATATCGTTTTGTATGTTTTGAAATCATAAGGGATTTTTCTGTGTATTAGGTATACCATAGGGGTTTTTTTTTTGTTTTTAACCCAAATAAAATTAAAATAAAATAAGTTTATATAGTTACTGTAAAGAAAAATTGGTGCAACAATATAAAATTATTGCTGAAAAAAAGCACAGTTATTTGATAAAATTTTACTCACTTTAAACATAGGCTAATATTAAACATCTGAGTTATATTTGTTGAAATTTTAAAATGGGTTAGGTTCTATCGGGACTTGAGTATAGTTTGTTCAAACTCAAATCATAATTTAATTGGGCTCCTAGTTAAATACTCAAACTTAGCCCAACTCTAATTCAGGTGAATCTTAGTCATATTGTAAATTGGTCAAATAGGTCAGATTCGAGTTGTCTTGGTCCAACTCACAACCCTCACGAGAATATGATTATCTCATTAAAAAAAGGTCATCTCCCATCTTATCTTAATGCTATTTGGCTAAATGATATTGGGTTCGTTTGGATGGTGTATTTTTTGAGTATTTGTATAAAATTTTGCCAAAACTTACTATGTAATTTATTGAAAAACTTTTGTGTACTTGAGGATTTGGAGAAAATTTTTTTATTTTCTTTTTTCCTCTTCTTTTTCTTTATTTTTCCCCATTTTCCGTTCTTCTTGTTGTTTCCCACATCCCCATCACCAGCTGCCAATCACCATTACCGTCGATAACCACTCTACCCATCCCTTCTTTTTTATCCCTCTCCTCCTTCCTTTTTTCTTTTCTCCTCCTCCTCCTTCCTTTCCCAACCACCCCTCACCCTGTCCCCCCTTCCCTCGACCTCTCCTGAGAGGAGAGAGAGAGAGAGAGAGTGAGAGAGAGTGAGGGAGAGAGAGAGAGAGAGAAAGAGAGAGAGAGAGAGACGAGGGATGGTAGCAGGTTTAGGTGGCTATAGTAGGTGTTAAGAGAATATCAGCACTCTTGTAGATAATAAATTAGTAAAGGTATTCTTATAAATAGTTTGTTAGATTTGTACTACTATAAATACTAGTTAGGCACTCATAATGTGTGTGCTAGATCTTTTTCTTCCAAAATACATATTCTCATGGTATCAGAGCTAAAGTCCTAGGGTTTGGAGGCGAATTACCTCACTCCATTCTTTTTTCTCATGAACCTGTGTTTAAAGTACCTCATCGTATTTTTGAATGTGTGTATTTTGTTCACCAGCTTGCTCCTGGGGTGGATAAATTAGATCATTGTGCTATTAAGTGTATTTTCTTAGGATGCGCATGAGCGTAAAAAAGGTATAGATGTTACAGTCAAGTTTTAAATCAATTTTTCACTTGTGTTGATATTACTTGCTTTGAATCCGCTTCTTATTTTATGAAACAATGTATGTCTTGTGAGTTAGAACAATGTTCCTCTTTTCCTCCTCCTTTATACAGTCCAACAAATTCTACAAATCGGTTATCTTGTCCTAATTTTCAAATTTATTCTCATCATTCCATAGTTGAGAAAACTCCTGATATGTCACGCATTTTACCAATTACCTCTCAATTTTCAAATCCAGGTATGACGCCCTCCTGTTAGTTAGATCTTCCTATTGCTTTACGCAAAGGTAAGAGGCATTGTACTTCTCATCTTATTTCGAATTTTGTTTCTTATTCTCGTCTCTCTTTGTCATATTAATCTTTTGTTGCTTCACTTGATTCTATATTCATTCCTAAATCTATTACCCATGCTCTCGATCATCCTGATTGGAGATTAGCTGTGCAAGGAGAGATGTTTGCTTTGGAGAAAAATGGTACTTGGGATCTTGTCCCAATTCCTTCTGGTAAGCCTGTTGTTGGTTGTAAATGGGTGTACACCATAAAAGTATAGCTTAATGGTTTTATTGATATATTGAAGGCTCGTCTTATAGTTAAAGGATTTACTCAGATGTATGGAATAGACTACTTAGAGACATTTTCTTCTGTTACAAAGATTACCTCTGCTCGTCTTCTTATCTCTTTGGCAACAACTTCTAATTGGACATTAAATCAGTTGGATGTGAAAAATGCATTTTTACATGGAGATTTGGAAGAAGAGATATATATGGAACAACCTTCTAGGTTTGTTGTTTAGGGGGAGAATTCGCGGTTGGTTTATCGTTTGAAAAAATCCTTATATGGATTGAAATAGTCTTCTAGGGTTTGGTTTGGCCGGTTTAGTAGTGTTGTCATGGAGTTCGGTTTGACAAGATGTCGAGTAGATCACTCTGTATTTTATCAATATTCTAATGCTGGTAAAATTTTATTAGTTATTTATATGGATGATATTGTGATTACAGGTGATGATGTTGTGGGGATCCAGAAACTTAAATCCAATTTGCAGGCAAACATTTAGATAAAAGATTTAGGTCATTTACAGTATTTTCTGGGTATTGAGATATTTCAGTCTAAATATGAGATTTATTTATGTCAAAGAAAATATGTACTCGATATGCTAAGTGAAGTTGGGATGTTAGGTTGCCGACCTGTGGGTACTCCTATGGATCCTAATGTGAAATTAGTAGGAGATCAATGTGCATTACTAGATGATCTTGGGCAATATCGAAAATTTGTGAGTAAATTAAATTATCTCACTGTAATGAGGCCTGACATTTCGTTTGCAGTGAGTGTCGTAAGTCAATTTCTGGAGACCCCTCGTACTAGTTATTAGGATGCTGTTATACGAATTTTCAGGTATTTTAAGAGTGCTCCTGAAAAAGGGTTACTGTATCAAAATCATGAACACACTGATATTGAAGGATACAGTGATATAGATTGGGCTGATTTTGCCTCAGATTGAAGATCAACCATAGGATATTGTGTGTTTATTGGTGGTAATTTTGTGTCATGGAAGAGTAAGAAGCAAACAATTGTCTCCAGATCAAGTGCAGAATTTGAATACTGCGTTATGACTCACACTACGTGTGAGTTGATTTGGTTGAAGAGCATGTTACTTGAAATTGGGTTTGAGCATAAACAACTTATGAATTTAGTGTGCAATAATCAGGCGGCTATTCATATTGCGTCTAACTCGGTATTTAATGAAAGAACAAAACATATTGAAGTTGATTGTCATTTTATTCGAAAGAAATTGTTTGATAGAGTCATCAAGACATCTTATGTATCATCTATAGATTAATTGGCTGATTTGTTTACCAAAAGTTTAGGGGGTTCTAGGGTGAAATACATTTGTAACAAGTTGGGTGCTTATGATATATATGCTCCAACTTGAGGGGGAGTGTTAAGAGAGTATAAATACTCTTGTAGATAATAAATTAGTAAGGGTATTCTTGTAAATAATTTGATAGATTTGTACTACTATAAATACTAGTTAGGCACTCATAATATGGGTGTTAGATGTTTTTCTTCCAAAATACATATTCTCAGTAGGCTGAGATGAGTGACTTAGAGGAGGATGAAAAGAAGAAAGAAAAGTAGAAAAAAATTTTGTGTGTTTTTGGGCATTTTAAGGGTGCATTTTAAAAACTTTGGAGTGTTTTTAAAGGGTTACTACAAACAAAGTGATAACAAAAACTGTCTCCTAGAAACAAGCCATGAAACTTGGCTTCCAAACAGAGCCATTATCACACCACTAATTTAAGTGCCAAAGTTACCTTCACTAGCCAAAGGATAAAAATAATTCATGTTAAAAGACAAATAGACTTGGACCAGAAAAATTTGTGCTCAAAATATTTTGTGCACGTCTTTTATCTGTAAAAAAATCACATGAATTCGAATAAAATTTTCTCAAATGTATCAATCAGCTAAATCCATACAAGAATTGTTTTATGTCATAAATAAACTTGAACACTCAAAAAAATACAATGGAAAAATAGATTCACAACTTTTACAATCAACTTAGTCTTCCACTTTTGGAAGCAATTTGTTTAGATTTAGTAAAAAATTGAGTTCATTTTGAAAAAAAGTAAATCTATGATTTTAAAAGAAACGTATTCTAGCATTAAAATAAATACGTGGTATTATTAGTAGCCATGCTTCTCTTGTTGTGGATATTTTGTCAACTGAACTAGTCATGACTTTTGTCAGAATAGCATAAACATATGAGAAAATAAAGAAATGTAAATGAGATGTCTATAACTTCATCTATCCATTTTATGACAAATACGTTGAATAACATAGTAAGAAAATAAATTCAGCTAAGAAAAATCAATATTCAAAAATACCATCAATGGGGGTGTTTGAAGAGAAGGTAATGCCAGATCATGTCAACAACACACTCATGTCCTTAATACCCAAAGTGGAATTTCCAGAAATGGTCTCCAAGTTCAGACCCATCTCATTGTGTAATGTTCCTTATAAGGTGGTAACGAAGATTATAGTAGAAAGGATTCGGCCATTGATTTCTGAGCTAGTTGAGCAGAATCAATGGCAGACAAGCAGGGATTCGGCAAGGTGACCCGCTATCACCGTATTTTTTTGTATTGTGTATAGAGAGGTTGGGTCATATGATCAAAGAAGCGGTAGCAATAAAGGACTGGAGACTAATTAAAGTAACTTGGAATGGCTCAGGTGTAGCTTATTTAAGTTTTGTAGATGACTTAATGTTGCTTGCAGAGGCAAGTATGGAACAAGCAGAGATGGTGGGAAATATTTTGGGTAATTTTTGCAAGTTGTCGGGGCAAAAAGTAAATGTAAGGAAAATAAAGATGTTTTACTCAGGAAATGTTTCTTGGAGTAGGAGAATGTTGATACAAGGGAAGTTTGGGATAGAGGTCACGGAGGATTTGGGGAAATATTTGGGTATGCCTCTGCTACATGGGAGAGTGACAAAGAGTACATTTCAACCAGTTGTGGACCAAGTCAAAAAAAGACTACATCAGGCTGGCAAAAGAAGGTGCTATCCTTTGCAGGAAGGGCAACACTAGTAAAGTCAGTGCTAACTGCAGTTTCTCTGTATACAATGCAGAGGGCTATGTTACCCTGCTCAGTTATGAGCAAGTGGAGCGGAAAGAAGGGAGGAATGGCAATAAAAGTAGACTTGGAGAAGGCTTATGATATATTAAGATGGAGTTTTATACATCAGACTCTCAGGTTTGCAGGCTTTCCGGAAAAGCTAAATGACCTATTCATGAACTGTGTACAGGCAAGTGCCATGCAAGTCTTGTGGAATGGAGAGAAATCAGAACCTTTTAAGCCAACTCGAGGGATTCGGCAAGGTGACCCGCTATCACCGTATTTTTTTGTATTGTGTATAGAGAGGTTGGGTCATATGATCAAAGAAGCGGTAGCAATAAAGGACTGGAGACTAATTAAAGTAACTTGGAATGGCTCAGGTGTAGCTTATTTAAGTTTTGTAGATGACTTAATGTTGCTTGCAGAGGCAAGTATGGAACAAGCAGAGATGGTGGGAAATATTTTGGGTAATTTTTGCAAGTTGTCGGGGCAAAAAGTAAATGTAAGGAAAATAAAGATGTTTTACTCAGGAAATGTTTCTTGGAGTAGGAGAATGTTGATACAAGGGAAGTTTGGGATAGAGGTCACGGAGGATTTGGGGAAATATTTGGGTATGCCTCTGCTACATGGGAGAGTGACAAAGAGTACATTTCAACCAGTTGTGGACCAAGTCAAAAAAAGACTACATCAGGCTGGCAAAAGAAGGTGCTATCCTTTGCAGGAAGGGCAACACTAGTAAAGTCAGTGCTAACTGCAGTTTCTCTGTATACAATGCAGAGGGCTATGTTACCCTGCTCAGTGCTAGATGAAGTAGAGAGATATGCAAGGGATTTTTTATGGGGGGATTCAGCAGAACGTAGGAAAATTCATCATGTGAACTGGGATACTGTGACAAGGGACAAAATGGAAGGAGGACTTGGGATACGGAAAATGAGGGAGACCAACAGAGCAATACTTACCAAGTTGAGCTGGAGAGCTTTGCACCAGAAGGAGTCGCTGTGGGTAAGGGTTCTTAGCAACAAGTATAAAGAATCAGAAGGGTATGGGAGAAAATCCTTCGTCTGAAGGAGTATAGAGGAGGGACAGAAGGTGGTGAGGAAAGGAGTGAGGTGGACAGTGGTAAATGGAGTAGATGTTAGTTTTTGGAAGGACGTATGGTTATTAAAAAGGTCGTTAGTGGACATGAGTAGAAGGGAAATTCTGACAGGAGAGCTGCATAAGAAAGTCAGGGATTACTGGGTTATTGGGGAGGGTTGGAATATGGATGCATTGGAACCTTTACTATCCACCCAAATGGTAAGTAAGCTATTGGAAGTCCATTTAGCACAAGAAGGCTCCGACAAGGACTCACCAGTGTGGACTCCGGATCCTAGGAGAGTGTTTTCAACAAGAACTGCATATCAACTAGAATGTAATGAAGAAATACTTGCTAATCGACATGGATGGAATCAAATTTGGAAACAAAGAGGACCAGGCAGATGGCAATTCATGTTGTGGTTAGCTAGGCACTGATGACTTTTAACTAATGCAGAAAAGAAGCGAAGGTACCTCCAGGAGATTAGTTACTGCAAAATATATGGGCAAGATCCAGAAACGCAGCTACATGCGCTACAAGATTGTCCATGGGCAAGGAAGATATGGTTTAGCCTAGTTTATCCAAGATATTGGGAGGAATTTAACAGCAAGAGTGCAGGAGATTGGATAGACTGGAATCTGAAAAGAGGTAATATAGGCAGATGGGATCACCTGGACTGGCAGATAGTGTTCCAACAGGTGGTATACTCAATATGGGGAAGTAGGAATAGTTTTTACATCAACGAGGACAGCAGTAAAATCGCCAGTCTAGAGAAAATGGTCGTTGCAGTGTTGGAAGCTAATCAAAGAGTACTAGAGAGGGAAACCAGGAGCAAGAAAAGGCAAATTATAAACATTGGGTGGGGTAAACCGGAGAGAGGTTGTATAAAGGTTAATGTAGATGGGGCGTTTAGCTCCAGGAATGGTATTGCAGGGGTTGGAGGGCTATTAAGAGATGAGTATCGAATGTGGATTAGCGGATTTTGGGCAAATTTAGGACAGAGGACCAATACTGAAGCTGAACTATGGGCTATCTGGTTTGGAATGAAGACAGCTTGGGACAAGAGGTACAAGAGAGTGATCATTGAAACGGACTCTAAAGTGAGTTTAGAGCTTATTGACAAAGAGCCAACCGAGAGCCCCCTTAGGGTGCAAATCAGCCAAATTCGAAGTTTAAGGGAGAGGCAATGGCAATGTGAGTTATTACATCAAAGGAGGGAGGCTAACTTGAGTGCGGATTGGTTAGCTAAGAGTGGCTTGAATTTGGAGCCGGGAGTTCAAGAGATGGCATCTCTACCAGAGGAGTTGAGGAAGTGGTTGGCATATGATGTTGTAGGCGTTACAACGCCTAGATTAGTTGCCATGTAATAAGTCTAAAGCCCTCCTATCAAACAAAAAAAAAAACCATCAATTTATGTTTTTTTAATAAATTTTCCTTTCGGTTAATTCGAAAAAACCCTATGAAATTACATTTTGCAGTAATTTTTACTCCCAAATATTCATTTACAACAACCTCCCTCTTGTGGTTTCTAAAGTTTCTAAATCACACACATATTTCCTTTTTCATCTTCTTACATGACAACCATATGCCACTAATAAAATTCTCAAATAATTTGGACATGATTTTGTTTCCAAAAATATCCTTATGCGTAATGGACTACTATATGCACGCCACTCTTAGGCATATATTTATTTTTCTGTTTTTGGTGATATATAAAATAGGTGTGTGCATAAAAGTCGATTACAATTTTGGAAATGAAACTAGGGCTAAAATATTTAGGCGGCTATTCAGTCCATTTTCTGGTAGGATGTTCATGTCATTTGAAGAAATGAAAGGGAAATTAGGACTTATTTGCGGCTTTTACTTGATTGAGAAAATTTGACTACCATAAAGAGTGGGGAGGGGGAGATTGATGCAAATTGACATTCAGGGGATAAAGCATCTAAATTGTATTTTGGAGGAGGTTTTCTTTGGAATTAACCCTTTTTTCCTTTTGAAGCTTAGTAATGGAGCAAAAGAAAAATATTGAGTAAAGTACAAAAGCAAATGAACAGAAGACCAATTAAAGAGATAGTAAGAAAGAATAAATTTAAAAAACTCAATTTTAGATGTGTTAAGGGGAAAAAGTTAATAAGAATCAAGAAATTTAGTGGCTCATGCTAAGATAATACAGAGGTTGATCTAGAACTCAAGGAGTAGATGTTTCAGTTTCATGCAAATTTGAAGCTTAAAATAATTGCCCTAAATGAATTCAAATGATTTGTTTAGATGTCCTTAACAGCTAACTGCTTTTGTCCTCCGGTGCTAACATCACAAGGTCTACAATAAATGAAATTACCAAAGCTTCACAAACCAACAAAATTCTTTGCAACCTACTAAGCTTCATCATTCTTATTATATCATGTTTGTCATATTAAAATTGATTTTGACCAATGCTGAGTATAATTGTCATTTATGCTAGGGAGATTTTCGAATTGTTTACTTCTTGCAAACAACAAATGCAACTGAGTAAGAACAAGTCAGTGATCTAACCACCATATTCATAAATATCATTGTATATCGTTCATAATTCTTCAATGCTTCAGCCCTTATTTCTCTGTAAAAACTGAGTTTTGATCTTCTCAAGTGTTGTGAGGGCATCTTTTATGATGATCCTATTCTCTGGGACATCTGAAGTGCAACTTAAAGCAAGCTGCAAGATAGATGATACACAAGCCATGTTTTCATTGGCTTGTTCTTCTTTTGGATGAATAATTTCACATCAACAACTTTATCTACGGAACTTGGTAATGATTCCTGAATCCAACGCCTTATGCTTAGCTCTTCTGTGAACATCTCATCCTTAGGTCGCTTTCCAGTGAATGCTTCAATCATGGTAATGTCAAAACTGTATACATCGCACCTAGTTGACACCAGTCCTTCTAGTCCATGCTCTGTCACGAAGGGAAAAAAAATAGCTGTTTTACAAAGATTATAATGTTTTCATATTCAGAATAGAAGTGTTATGATATATTGTATCTTAAATTTGGTTTGGCTAATGAGTGCCAGGGACACTCGTTAAGATAATTTCAAGAGTTAATTTTTTTTTATAAGTAAAACTAATTTGGAAAAGTATCAAAATGCAAGTGAATAATATATGTTAGTGTATGCATTTACATAAAAAGTTAGGTATTATTTAAATGTTTTAATGAATATTCCAAAAACACACGTAAAATTTTTTTTTTTATCAAAAAAAAAAATTGTAGGTTTACAGCAAAGAATAGTAACCTGGAGCGATGTACCCTATTGTTGCCAGGGTTTTTGTCTGTACATGGCTTTCTCCACCTCCCAACAATTTAGCAATCGCAAAGTCACTAACATGAGCTACCATATCTTCATAAAGTAAAATGTTACTAGGCTTCAAATCACAATGAATTATGGGAAATGAATACCCATAATGAAGATATTCCAACCCACGAGCCACATCAATCATGATGTCCAATCTTTGCATGATACTCAGGACATGGTGGTCAAGATGAAGCCATTTCTCCAGGCTTCCATTTGGCATGAATTCTAGTACCAAAGCTTTAAAGTCCGGATTAGAACAAGCACTGATTACTTTGATCAAATTTCTATGACGAAGGCGGCACAAGACTTCACATTCGGTGTCAAAAGTTTTCAATAACCCCTCAAGCTGCATATCAAATACCTTTATAGCCCAAATTATCCCATTTGTAGATACCCCTTTGTAAACTGAACCAAACGTCCCAGATCCAAGCAAATTACTCCTGCTGAAACCATTTGTTACTCGTCGAAGGTCATGGTAGGATGCCCTTTGATATGTTGTTTCTGGAAACAAATCATGAGCTGGAGCCATAGTTTTCTTTCTTGCCAACCTTTTTGTCAACAAAAGTGAAATGCCCAAGATTAGGACAGCAGATCCTATTGGCAGCAACACAAGCAAGAGTACCTTTTTATTTGATCTATGTTGAGAAGTTTGACAAGGTTGGAACCAAGGAGCACCACATAATGTTTCATTAGCAAGAAAAGATAGGATGGTGAAGTTCATAAAGGTCCTCCTCGAGGAACCGGTCCTTGTAGTTTGTTGTAGGAAACATTCAAATAGTGAAGATCCAAGAGTACCTCCAGAGAGTTAGGTATCACACCAGCTAAACTATTGAATGACAGATCCAAGTACTGCAAAGCCAACATTGTCTTGATTGAGTCTGGAATTGACCCTTGTAGATTATTATGCTCTAAGGAGAGTTCCTGTAAATCCTGTAGTGCCCCAATAGTGCTAGGGATGTCACCAGAAAACTGGTTCACAGATAGATTCAGTTTGATCAGTGTCTTCATGTCTCCAATTTGGGAGGACAAAGAACCATTGAGAAAATTGATGGACAAGTCAAGCTCCAACAAGTCATTAAGGCTCCACAAGCTTGTTGGTACACTAGACGTTAGATTGTTGGAATTCAAATAAAGATATCTCAATGAAGAAATGCTCCCTAAGCAGTCAGGCACTTTGCCAGACAGCCTATTTCTTGCCAAAATTAAGTATCCTAAGTTGGGAAAATGACAAAACTCACTTGGAATTGGTCCTTCTATTTTGTTATCTTCAAAACTTATCCACTGAAGTTGTCTTAAACTTGAGATGGAACTTGGAATTATTCATGTCAAACCATTGCTTGCCAAGTTTAGGATCTCCATGCTGCTCAAGTTGCCTAGTGACCTTGGAACTTCACCTCCAATTCCACAATGAAACATATTAATTGAGTCAAGAGAGTTGGAAAGATTTCCAATAGACACTGGAAGATTGCTATTCAGTGGATTTTCATCTAGCAACAACTTTCGCAAATATCTGCAATTTCCTATAGAACTGAAGAAGGTCATATCTCCAGATAGAGTAAAATTGTTTGCCGAAAGAGATAAGACTTCTAGGAATCTTAGGCTACCAAGAGAATGAGGAATTTCACCAAAAAATTTATTCTCTGACAAGTCTAGAGACTTCAATCTAGAGGCATTTGAGAGAGTTGGTAATATAATTCCAGTGAATCTGTTTGCCCCAAGATAAAGTATCTCAAGATTGGGTAAAGTAACACCTAAAGTCGGCGGAAGAATGCCCCTAAAATCATTGGTTGGTATGGAAAGTTCTCTAAGAGTTGAAATGTTGAATAGCTCATGTGGGATGGGATCTCTTAACTTATTTTGGCCCAAGTATAGTAACTCCAATTTGTAAAGGTTACCAATCCCACGAGGTATAACACCTGAAAAACCAATTAGGTAACAAGTTAAATGAGAAGAAAAACCGATTCAATGGATGTAACCGTGTAAATATACATACACACACAAATAGTGAGATAAAAGCAAAATCAAAATATATAGGTGGGAGATATTGGAGAATGGGGCTAATGTTGAGAGCTTTTTGTTCTCCTTTTCAAGACTTATTGTATTGGTTCATGATTTAATTGTCAAAGCAACTATATACTAAAGTAAAAGGAAAAATGGTTAGAACTTAGAACAACTTCATATTTTGATTATTATCTGATTTGAACTTAATGTTAATCTGAGTATCAACAATCTTATAGTGCATACTTAATGCGGAAGAATTCTGAAGGCCCTTTCATATTTTTAAGGGAATTATGCTCTCTCAATTAAGATTCAATAACTGATTAATGAAATATATTAATGAAATTATTTATTTAACAAGTTTTTGGTATGGCTGCCCATTTGGCATTCACATACATTGCTTTACTGACTACTATAAGATGACAAATTTCCTTAAAAATGATACTCTGGTAAGGATATTACTTGGTATGGACGTGCCAAGATTTATCTAGTAGATTTTAATTAAGACAGTAATCAATTTTTTTTTCTCAAACACAATGTTATTAACAATTGAATTTCACATAATTTTTTTGATAACCGAATTATTTTTTATAAAATATTACATAATTTCATTAAAATGTAGAAGTTGCATCATCAGATTGAAAGAATACCAAGAGAACACCTCTTTCATTGTCGAGGTAGGCACTTACTGTTATACTACCATGTTCTTTAGTTTGAAAAATGCAGGGATTACCTATTAGAGGTTAGCTAATAAATTGTTCAAGGAGCAAATAGGAAGAAACATGGAAGTACACGGATGATATGTTGACAAGAAAACTAAACTGCAGACCACTTTCATGAGATTTAATTATTCTAAGAAAAGCTTAGATAACTTAATTTGTAAAGTATTATTCTACAGCTACCCCTTGGACATTCACTAGTAAAACAATTTGTACCTAATATAATTTCCCTATTTATATTTACACATTTTCCTTATTTAACTTATTGGTTTAAAAAAGCAACACTTTTACCCGTTTTGGTCAATGTCTGTTGGGCACCTGATAACCAAAAGTGTTCATCAATGTTGTTCTAAATTTAGAATGCAGCAGGACAAAGAGGTAATTACAAGCTTGTGGAGCCTTAATGACCTGTTGGGGCTTGACATCAAATTGAGTTAATGTTTACAAGTATGTTGGAGCCTTAATTAAGTTATCAAATTGAGGTAATTACAAGCTTGTTGGAGCCTTAATTACAAGCAACACTTGCACTGGAGGACATCACTACACATCTCCAAAGAGGTAATTATAGGCTAACATCAAATTCCACTTAATTTATCTTTTGAATGCACACAATCACAATTGTTGTACCCTTACATTTAGATACTTTCTTAAATTAATTACACTTTTCTAAACCACTGAGATCACTTTTGAATGAGTAGTAATTGGGTATTTATTAGGCAAGGATAATGAATATAAATCAATATATGATACCTATGATATCAGGGATAAATTACAGTCCAATTATATAGTTAGGCTAACGAGGGAACTAGTGACACGTGAGTGCATCATTTTTTTTTGAGTTGATGAACAATTTATATTTCAAAACCTTGATTCAAAGAGCATATGATAGGATAAGTGAACGTCAATACGTATCTTGTCGTTACCTGTCAGATTAGCGTACTCTATGCCTAGCTGTTCCAAATTAGTAAGATTTCCAATATCTGCTGGAATTTGACCTGCAGAGTAGATGAATCATAATATTTACATAATTGTTTGACAAAATATATATGTAAGGAATTGTTTTAAGGAATGTATCTTAAGCTACTGAATGAGGCACTGAAGTAGTTTGCCAAAAAAAAATATTTACATGTGCTAAAAGGAGAAGTATGTTGTGGACTATTTTGATTATTGAAAGCACCAAAATTACATATTCACCCTATTTATTGCATACATTCCATTTTCAGTGTTACTTTTCACAAAAAAAATGAATTAAAAATGGTCAAAATAGTAAGATTAGATGGTGAGGGGGCGGGGTCATGGGAAGAGGGGAGAGAGGTGAATGGAAGAGGGAAAAATGGAGAGAGAGAGAGAGAGAGAGAGAGAGAGAGAGAGAGAGAGAGAGAGAGAGAGAGAGAAGGGAGATGTCAGGTGGTAGCGATGGAGTGCAACAATGGCGAGGTGACAGTGACAATAGTAGTGGTGAGTGATGGTGATAGTGGTAATGTATTGAGGTGAGGTAGAGGTTGAGGTTGTAGAAAAGAGAAATGTGTGTGTATTTTTGGATATTTTCATATGTGTATTTTAATAATTTTGAAGTGTTTTTAGATGTTACTGTAGATAAAATTTGAGAAAAAATTTCTATTAAAAACAAGCAAAAAAAAAAAAAAGGGCTTCCAGAGACCCTATAATTTGGTCAGGCCGGTGCACGACACTAGCTAGAAACTAGAAAGACATATTCTTGAGATATGAATTTGACTTCTGGCCCATCTTGGCAGTAACTTGTTTGCAACCATTACAACCAGAGTGATCATCCTAAACCATCGTCCATCTTCTAGTTATTATTACATGTGAATTATAGCAGTCATATTACACCGTGTTTTAGGCACACTTTTATGGACTGATTGAATTTAAATAACGAGATGCATATTACTTTAAAATATGATGTAACACAGCCCTGCTTGGTAAAGTGAGTTTTTGTCAAGTTTGCCTCCTACCAATTTTTTTAATATTTTAATTACAGTAATTTCAAAAGACCTTTCAAAATTTTTAAACTACACACTTTAAAAGATCAAAAAAAAAAAAAAAATTCTTTCTTCCTTTTTTCTTCTACCTCAACCCACCACTACCTTCATCGCCGGTCAAGACTGATCGGCGCAGGCCTTCTCCTTTTTTTTTCTCTCTCTCTCTCCACCCCTCTCCCCTACCACCAACCTTCCCCCTCTCCCTCCCCCTCCCCCTCCCTCAGACGTGATCTGGTCAGAAAAAAGCAAAAAAAAAAAATGTTTCTACTGCTCTGACTTTTGGCGAGGAGAGGGAGAAGTGGCGCGGGAGAGAGAGGGGGAAGGGGAGGAGAGGAGGAGAGGGGGAAGAGAGAAAAATGCCAATTTTTTTTTTTTGTTTCTGCTGCTACAACTTTCAGCGGGGGGAGGGAGATGTGATGGGGGAGGGAGAGGGGGAAGGGGAGAGGAGAAGAAGAAGAGAGGAATGAAAAGAAAAAAGAAAGAAGAAAAAGAAAAAGAAAGAGAAAAAGAAAGAAGGAAAATGTTTATATAAAATTATAAATAGGGTTATGCAAAAAATTGCTAAATTTTAGGGGACTAAATTTAATGCATACAACATTTATATATCTTGGCTATTTCAGTTATTTTATTTTCTAAACGAAGGTAATCCTGACATTTGAGTTGATTTCATTATAGATTTACATCACTTTGACATCTTAGTATAAACTATGAAGGATTTATATATAATTTTTAAAATCATAAAAGGATTATGTGGAAAAGAATTAAATTACATGGGGAAAAAAGTATAACTTATCCAATGGAAATTGTAACTCAAAATCAAGATATTACTATCTATCGTACCTTGAATACGGTTTGCACCTAGAGCTAGCACCCTAAGCGTGGTTAGATTCCAAATTTCTTTTGGTATATTTCCTGCCAGATTATTGTATGACAAGGACAAGATTTGAAGCCTCGGACAACCTCCAATACCAGCCGGAACTTCGCCGTTAAACTCATTAATTGACAGATAAATCCCTTGGAGTTGTGGCAGATGATCGCAGATACGTGCCGGAAGGTAACCGGATAAGGTATTATTCGAAAAACTAAAGTGCTGCAATGACGAGAGGTTAAATAAAGACACAGGCAAAGGGCCTTCAAGTTTGTTACGTCCTATGTCAAGGACCTCCAAGTTCTGTAAAGCACTCCAGTCTTGAGGCAGATTTCCAGTTATGAGGTTCCGACCTAACCTGATAGTCTCTAACATTGTTACATTAGAGAACGTTGGTGGCAATGAACCAGAAATTCTGTTTCCAAGGACCGAAAGGTAACGAAGTTGAGATAAATCTCCCAACCATGATGGAAATCCGCCATCAAAGCTATTGAATGCCAAGTTAATGTGCTTGAGTCGACGCAAATGAACCATCTGAGTTGGAAGATTTCCATGGAAGCTATTGTTTTCAAGATCCAGCCAGACTAAGAAGGAGAGATTCCCCAACTGTAGAGGTATGGTTCCAACTAAGTCCATTTTGGGAAGTTGTATGGCGGCGACTCTTCGATGGCGAGTGTTACAAGTGATTCCTATCCAATTACAAACAGAGGTAGAAGTGGACCAATTGATTGGAAGGATGTTTTAGGGGTCGGAAATGGCAGCCTTGAAGGCAAGAAGAGCGTCTAGATCAAGATCACGGGTGTTGTTATGGGCAACAACGTTAGTGGTACTTAAGGAAGCTGCGGCTAGGCTTGCGATCAAGGCTACAAGGAAGAGGAAATAAGCTTTCTCCATATTTAATTTCTTTTCCAGAACGTGGATATGCACTAGTATTGCAATAAAATACATATATAAATGGATTGAAGTACAATAACCCTTCTTTATTTTTTTTTATTCTTCTTTTGGTCTTTGAAGAAGAGTACCTGGTGATACTAAGGGTGTGCCCACTAGTTAGCGAAGAATAAAGTAGAATGATGGCGCCGTGGCGGTGAAGTAGACCTTAGGCTTTGCATATGACTTTTCCATCTTGTACAATATGGTAAACTATTTAAAGAGTTTTTAAACTTTTCAAATTATCAACTTCTAGTATTTTATCTATTTCAAGTCTCATATAATCCCCTCAAAAATAAATAGTATCTAATTTTGATTCTTTGATCCATTTCTACATTAAAGCTAATAAATTTGAGGGCAAAATTTGATGAATCTAACAATGAAAATAGACAAAAAAAAGTTAAAATTTAACAATTTTTTATTGTTGGTGAGTGACTCTAAGATTTGAAATAGACGAGGGACTAAAATAGATGATCTAGAATTTGTTCATTATGTTTGTGTTACAAAAAACAATCGAGGCATTTTTGGACGTTGGATTGGAGTTTTTCCTTAGGTAAGAAAATTGGGGTTTATTTTTAAACTCAAAATACTTAAAATGGGGTGTGTGTTTGTATGTATGTATATGTGTGTATATATATGTACATATATATGTATGTATATTTTTATATAGGGATAATTTCAGAAACCTCCCTTGAGGTTTCATGAAATATCGCCTAGCTCCGCTAAACTTTTCAAAATCTCACTTAGCACTCTTGAAGTGATAGTAGGGCCATATACTAATATTAAAGGTGATGAATTGTCAATAATACCATCATATTTAAATTTTTTGAACTTGTTTTTCTTGCTCTAAATTTCCTACTTTTCTTTAACAATGTCTATACAAACATATATACATATATACATACATATATATATATATATATATATGTATAATTGAATTGCAAATGTCAATGAAATATAAGATTTAATCAATGAAATATACAATGCATTTGGAGAAGAATAGCTACAGGTTCTTTTTATTTTTTCCCTTTTTTAGTGTTTCACAACTTTATTTGCTCATTTATTTATTCCTATTCATGTAGAGCGCAAGAGAAATAAAGTAATTGAAACTCCAAATAGTTTTTCAAATTCTAACTTTTTCTATAATAAAATTTTCATATTTCACACCCATAAAAAAAGTCTGTTTATTTTGAGCAAATTTTTTGTATGATATTGAAGTTGAATTTCATCTATTACTAAGTTTTTTTGCTCAAATGTATGATTTTACATGCTAATTACCTTTAACGCTGTGAAGGGTTCTATTTGTAGAAATAGTTTAAAAAATAGTATTTACTTTTACTATCTCTTCCTACCGTAGAAATGACCATTGGCTGTAACATAAAATTTTACCAATTTTCATCTCCTGACATTTAAAATGGTTCCAATTTAGTACTTTTTTTTCTTGGTTTGTAAAATGTTCATTTTTTTATAGCCTAAGGGTATTAAAGGTACTAAAATAATCTCTCTCCTCAAACATGAATTTTTTAATATTACTTTTGGTTAGAAAGGCTTCCCATGTTACCAAAATATCAATTCAAGGGGTACTAAGTGAGATTTTAAAAATCTCAAGGGAGCTAGGTGATAATTCATAAAACCTCAGGGGAGGTTTATGAAATTATCCCTTTTATATATATGCAACTGTTTATGCATATATATGTATCTATGTATATGTGTGTATGTATACGTGTGTATTTGTATGTATGAATGCATGCATGCATGCATGTATGTATGTATACATATACATAGATATACATATACATACATACATATGTTTGTGTATATATATATATATATATATATATATATATATAAAGTAAAGGATTTAAGAATGTGATCGAACTGTAGCAACTTGAGAAAAATAGAACAACAGTTAAATGAACAGTTAACAATACAATTGCATTACTACTAAAAAGACTATATGTGGCATTTGATAAGAGGGTTTCGGAATGGAGAATTGGAGTAAACCCTATAATTATTGTTTGGATTACTACTATCGGAATCGAGATTTTGGAATCATACTTAAAAATTTGGAGTTCTCCAATTTCCTAATAACTTGGAGGGTTTTGGACAAAACCCAAGTTTGATTCCGGTTTAGAAATGGAGCCCATCCCGCCACCCGTTAAAAAAATTAATATATAATTATATACATATATATAATATATATTATAATTACATATTTTATTATAATATGTTTATAATTATTGCAAGGCCAATTAACAAAACCATACTACTATTTCTATGAGCACTGTACAACGACAACAAATAACTTTCTGTTTCTCGAGTTAGTAGTCCCACTCTAAAATTTTCTTCAATTTTTTGTCCTCATTAGACCCTTAAGTAAATTATTAGAGAGGTAGTGGTCATTATGATAAACCTCTAGGGGCGAATGTAAGATTATCTCAAAGACCTTACAATTTTTTTATTTTTTATTTAAGAAGAACTCTAAACCTTACAATAGAGCATTGCTGTACATGCCTAATTAATTTTTTTCTAGTTCCGTCTAATAATTGTAATTCTTATAAGATTTGATATATTTATCACTAAGTTGAGGTAAATAAAAAAAGTTTAACTACACTAAACTAGTATGAGCGATATCAAATATTATAAGAATTGCAGCAATCAAATGTGACAAAATTCAGTTGGACTTGCCCGTTTAAGAGTCTAAATTGAAGATAAACAATGGCTTAAATATCTTTATTAAACTGTAAACAAACGACGCACGCCACTGACTTAAATAGCTTTGTTTGTCTGTAATGCTGTGGCAACTGTTAAGTGTACCAATAGAAGGTGTCTCCATGTTGACAGCAAATGCCCTTTCCAAACCAGCACAGCCGACATAGAATTTAGATCTCATTCTAAGTGCATTGTACTGGAAAAACTGAGGGAGACGTGCACCAGAGGCCCAGAACCCTCTTGACAAAAAAGTTCTTTTAGGATGCATTTGATAAAAGTTTGGAAACTCAAATATAAAATATGAAATTTGAATTCATTAAATTATTGAATTTTTAAATATTAAATCAAATACATTTGAGTATATATCACATTTCGTAATAAGTGAAAAGTTTATTACTTATTTTTTGAACAAATTTTATCTAGAAAATTCAGTGTCACTTAACTAATTCAGATGCTCAATTTTTTGTTATCAAATGCGAATAAATATATTAAGATCTGAATCCATTAAATTTAAGTATTGAATTAGATATTATCAAATAGGGTCTTAGTTGCTAAAAGTATTTTGAAAACATTTGGTGAACATCATCTCATAGAATAAGGAGTAGAGTATTTGGTATTAAAAGTACTTTTAGCAATAGTTCAAATTTGATGCTTTTAAAGCAATTTTTATGATTTAAAAAATAAAATATTAAATTTAATCATTTTATCCTATATAATGAATTAAATAAAGAGATAAATAAATTTCAAAAATTTCAAATTATACATTATCCAATACAATAAATACTCATTAAACTATGTTTTCAAACAATATACTTAAAAGCACTTAATAAGTTAATCAATATTTTTATTAAAAACTCTATTAGAGAAGTAAAACTATTTTTTAATAAGTTTGGAACCTAGTAATTTGGACGTCCTAATCGGCTTTTATTTTTTTTTTTAAAAGGACGTCCTAATCTGTTTTGGAGGAAATATCAAGGGAGAAATGTCTTATGACAATTCGGTCAAGTTATAAACTATCGCTCATATTCAATATCATGTCCATCAAAGGATTGATGAGGAAAGTGATTAAAGAAGACATTGGAAGATTACTTGGGGATAACTGAGTCGCAGGGCTCTAATGCTCCGTCAAAGTGTGGAAACGAAAACTTTGTTTCATCCCCACTGCATTGTCTAGGAAAATTATTATTGACTGAAACTACTATGAAGGTGCTTGTCTTTGTTTCGGCCAATCATATAGAGATAGCAGATTTAAATATCTCCCCAAGTCCTTTTTATTTCTCATGGTAGAGACAGCACATTTTATTGGAGTCTTGCACTGCTTCCAAGAAGTTAATCGGCTTGCTAATCGATTATCCAATCTTCGTTGTGACATAGGAACTAAAGTGATCTACCATTCTTTTGTTCAATTACTATGTTTTCGTTGGGTTGGGATTGAGCTCAGTTATAACTAGAATTTTGTCCATGCCTTAGCATGGTTTCTTTTTATTTATTGTGAATCCAACATGTCCACTCATATTAATTTTAAAAAAATTAATGTATTTTAAATGTTCAATTATTTACTAATTTTTAAAAATTTGTTTATATACTTTCACTGTAATATGATAATATACATCGAATAATGTATCTCATATCCAAAACTTGGTACATCGAATAATTTATTTTTTAATAAATATTCTTTTAGATAATTTAAATTTTTATAATGACCGTAGATCTAGAACTATAAATTCACATTTAATTAAGTGAAAAAGGTCCAGCAATCCACTTTTTTTCATCAGTAAATATTTAGCTTCTAACAATATTTGTAATTCTGCTGGTATAATAATTAATTATTTTTTTACACTAAGTTAATTCAAAATTAAGGGAAGAGATGATGAGCAATTCGAATCCTAATCATCGATATGGTGATGAAAGGAAGTAATTTATGAAAATAATTGTAATTTGAAAAAGGCTTTAGTATAGTTTTATGTAACAATTTAATATAAAGCAAATATCATTAAAATAATATTAGTTATTTTTTAAAAGTTATTTTGGGATATCATTAAGGTAAGATTAGTTATATTTTAAATTTATTTTAAAATTAGGGATAATTTCAACATATAATATAATATTCAATATGGGCAAAACTCAAATGACCATAACCCATTAATTTTCTTCAATTAAGCATGTTACATAGGAGTGAGAAATACTCTAATTAAAATAGCTACTTTTATAATTAATTTTCTTCAATTAAGTATGCCACATAGAAGTGAGAAACACTAATTAAAATAGATACTCTCATATATATATATATATATATATATATATATATTTATATAGATAAGTTAGGATTCATACTTGTAGATTGTAAAAGTTTCTATGATGCATTTGCACGGAAGTTTTGGCTTTATGTCCACCTCCTTGTTTTTTATTTTTTTTAATAAATAGAATCTAAGGTTGGCATCTATTCCCAGAATCCCAGTGGACGAAATCGCTTACCAAAAACAAAGTAATAGAAATCTAATTTAATTACAAGATGAGTAGGTATAAAAGCCACCGGCACCTCCTTTCTATATTCGCTTTCTACAAGTACGGTCTTACGGCTTTGAAATGGGAGTTTATTTTTTTCCGAAGATTTCCTTGCGATTTCTTTGCTCTTTGTCAAATTTGTATTTGCCTTTGCCAGATTTAAACCCTTCTTATCCAATATGAACTAATTTAAGTTTAGATTCGATCATTCAAAGCAAGCATTCATTGGGCCAAAAAAGGTCAACCATTCCTACATAGGCCCACAAAGATCATTTGAAACTGAATATAAATAATTGGAAGTTCAAGGGTGTTTTTGTTGATTTTTCAGCGTGGAAGGATAGTTCTTCCATTTAGTGTATCTAATCATTGTAATTTATGAACGAAGAAAGGCACAAAACCATTTAGTGTGCATCCATTTGCAGTCCATGTTGTTTTTATCCACCCTTGTTTGGACTGTAATTTTTTGCAGAAAAACTTTTATGTTTTTTGTGAATATATTTTTCAATCACTTTTTTTATCTCACATATATCAAATCGCTAAAATATATTCTTTTTTACTAAAACCCCTAAAAATAGCAATCCAAATGAAATTTCTGTATTCCAATAGTTTGCAACTTCATTCATCAAAAAAAATATTTGTTTAGTTAACTATGTAATTTGAACTTTTTTTTTAATGAAAGCTACTTAATTTTGTTCTTATATTGTTCTAATAGGGCACAAGTTCAATTGGAGAGAAAACAGACAAAAAACATGATGCAAATAAGTAATGGAAGAACAAAGCATGAAGAGTAAGAGGTTTGGCAGGATTGACAAATGTAAGTGTTTTGGCAATAACTTGAGTGATACAAATTGGATTGAGATGATTCTTAATTCATTTTGAAGTAAATGAATTCTCTACAAATCTTATCAAAACATCAAAGTTTGGTTCTCATGGTTTAATAGGCAAAGATCCAAAATACTAAAGTATAGTTGTGCTGCAAAATTCTGTAACTAGTTCTCAATATTTTGGGTATATCTCAACATCCATACCACCACATGACATGATTCTTGTGGCATTAAAAAACTAATTCAAAGAGCTACTTTCATGTTTGAGAAAGATATCATTTGGCCTTGATGATGGAGATTTTTGGCCTTGAAATGGATCTGTTCGTGGATCCGATGCAATTCGTCTGCTGATCACATGTAACTTGCACCCGTCTTAAATTTGGTCTTCTCGCCATTATTCCTATGGTACCAAAAGTTCAATTGGTCTTAAATTTGGTCTTCTTATATTGTTCTAATAGCGCAAAAGTTCAATTGGAGAGAAAACAGACCAAAAACATGATGCAAATAAGCAATGGAAGAACAAAGCATGAAGAGTAAGAGGTTTGACAGGATTGACAAATGTAAGTATTTTGGCAATAACTTGAGTTACACAAATTGGATTGAGATGATTCTTAATTCATTTTGAAGCTAAATGAATTCTCTACAAATCTTATCAAAACATCAAAGTTTGGTTCTCATGGTTTAATAGACAAAGATCCAAAATACTAAAGTATAGTTGCCCTGCAAAGTTCTTCCAACTAGTGCTCAATATTTTGGGTATATCTTAGCATCCATACCACCACATGACATGATTCTTGTGGCATTAAAAAACTAATTCAAAGAGTTACGACTTTCATGTTTGAGAAAGATATCTTTTGGCCTTGTTGATGGAGATTTTTGGCCTTGAATTGGATCTGTGCGTGGATCCGAAGCAATCCATTTGCTGATAACATGAAACTTGCACCCATCTTAAATTTGGTCTTCTCGCCATTATTCCTATGGTCCCAACACTGACGCTGGTGTTTAGAGTGGTATTTGCACCGGTGTTCATTAGAAAAGTGTGCGAAATTGTCATTTTTCAACTTTAAAAAATCCAATTCTATCCCATTTCGGATACTACTTTAAAAAACTATAAATAGGGTCTATCTAGGACGTTTTTAGAGGTGAAAAACATTAGTCTAGCTTAGTTTTAACATCTTTTCATAATTTATCCTTGAGAGATCAAGATCAAATGGAGGCGAATCAAGGAGCATGCAAGGAGAAGATTAGAGCAAGCAATTGAGAAGTTTTCTTGCTCATTTTCTTATCTTTGTAGCAACTCTTTGAATTCGTGGTTTTAATTTCCAAATCATGTTGAACTAAATTGTTTCTAGGGTTAGGGTTTTTATGATGGAATTTTATTAATTCTTCTAATTTAATTTCTTGCCTTTTGCTATGATTTATTTATCTTGATTTAATTATGTGTTTATACTTGGCCATCATAGACATGCTCTTAGAGTTTTTATTGAATTAAAAAAGGCGATACAACCATGCACTAGAGAGATAAGCATATTTAGACTAATTATGAGAGTAGGTTAGGATTTGTATAACACACTTGTATCACCAAAGTTCTTAAAGGGTTTAATTGAACACTTGAGATCTTGAGAGAGATGTAAGATTTAATTAGGCACACTTTAGATGTATTGAGAGATAATCTAAAGTATAATTGTGGGATGCGTTCATAGTTTGTTAAGAAATTAATTAGATAATTGATTCAAATTTTGGATTAAAACTTGAAACCCTAGACATGTGTCTATTGTTTTCTCACCACTATTTATTTGAATTGATTATTATTTATTGTTTAGTTAGAAAATACAATTTTTTGAGTTTAAATTTTGTTATTTTATTAGAATAATTAAAGTAAAAAATTAACTCATCTCTGTGGGTTCGACCCTAAACTACTCTAAGTAATTTATTACTACGATCGGCCCTGTGCACTTATAGGAATTCATCAATCAAGTTTTTGGCGCCATTGTCGGGGTCAACTGTAAGTTTTTCTACTTTAGTTATTTTTGTCTTTTATTTTTATTTTTATTTCTTCACTTTTTTTTATTTTGTTGCTTAGGTACCTTGGTTTAAGATGGCTTTGGACACTCCTAATAATCAAAATCCACCCCTAGCTCCACCTGCTAAATTTCATTTGAGGAACATCCAATGTCTCATGATAGCAGCTTCGTCATATTGTATCCGACTAAGTGATGGGGTTAGAAATTACAAGCTCAAGACCTTGCATTTTAATATGCTTTCTTTTTTTTACAATCTACCTAATGAAGACTTGCAATCTTTTATCTGAGAATTTTACTCGGTGGTGCAGACTTTTCCATTGGGTGGGATATCAAAAGATGAACTACGGATGAGGTGTTTTCCCTACTGCCTCATGGACCATGCTAAATCTTGGCTGCAAAACTTTCTTGAGGGAACCTTGAGAACTTGGGAAGATGTTTACAATATCTTTATGATCAAGTACTACTCTCTGTAGAAAACTATTAATCTAAGGAATAAGATTTGGTCCTTTGCTCAAATGGAGGGAGAGCCTATTCAGGAAGCTTGGGAATGATTTATGTAGTTGCCTACTCAATGTCCTCATCACCAGTATTCGTTGGCTCTACAAGTGTAATTTTTCTATGATGGGCTAACTTTCACAACTCAAAGCATGGTAGATTTTGCAGCAAGAGGGTATATTCATGATAAAACTCCGAAAGAATTGGTTGCAATATATGAGTTACTTTCTAATAACTCTTAACAAAAAACAAGTCGAGGTAAAGGAGCAAGTGCTCAGAAAATGTCTATTTCTAAGGATTTGGGCTCACAAGTGGCTGAACTAAGTCATCAGATGCATTAGATGCGATTATTGCTAAAAGGTGAAACTCAGTCTCTAGAACCATGATCTCAAATAAATGATTTCTTTTCTAATATGTATAATGAGGGACAGAGAAATCTCCCTAATTTATCATGGAGAAATCAAGGGATCACCCCTATGGAACCACCTGGGTTCCCAGGTCAGCCGCAGGGATCCCAATATCTGCCTTCGCTTGCTTAAGAAAAGAAGTTGAGTGTTAAAAACATGATGTTACAATATATGTAGAAATTGGAGCAAATAGCTCAATCTCAACAAGTTTCTATTCAAAGTTTGGAGAGACAAGTAGCCAATTGGCTAAAATGCTAACTGAAAGGGGCAAACATACCTATACTACTGAAGTGAACTCAAAGGAGGCTACAATGGCAATAACCATATGCTCAGGAAAAGTGTTGGATGATCCAGGAGTTAAAATAAAGCCAGTACTTGAGAAGAAAAATAAGGTTAAAGTGGGTGATAGAAGTGAAAATTTTGAGGATGAGCATGATGGCTTGGGCAAAGAGGGTGAAGATGATCAACATATAAAATTGCTTGAAGTTAAAGCTGATGTGCCACCTATCCTCTTCTCACAAAGGTTTAAGAAGAAGGCAATTGATGAGATGTATTAGAAGTTCATGGATATGCTTGGGAAGTTACAAATATCCCTACTTATGCAAAGTTTTTAAAGAAGATAGTGTCTAATAAAAAGAAATTAAAGGACTTTTGCAGAGGTGTCTTTGACTGATAAATGCAGTGTTGTGTTTCAAAATCGTTTTCCAATTAAGATGAAAGATCTAGGGAGTTTTATTGTACCCTATCAATTTGAGCATATTCTTGCTGAGAAGTATTTATGTGACCTTGGATCTAGTGTTAATTTGATGCCTTTATCATTTTTTAGGAAATTGAAGTTTGCCAACCTAGTACCTACTCAAGTGATTCTGCAATTGGCTGATCATTCAGTGCATTATCCAATGGGTATTGTAGAAGATCTATTGGTTAAAGTTGGTCAACTTTATTTTCCTATTGACTTTATTGTTCTTGATATAGAAGAAGATATTTCTATACCTATTATCCTTGCTAGAAGGTTCTTAGCTACGGGGGGAGTTAATACAGATTTTCTTGAAGAAAAATTAACTTTAAGGGTTGTTAAAGAGAAAGAAGAATTTGTTGAAATGTTAGAATATCTTTTTTTTATAGCTATAAATTCTATATATATCCTATGATTTCTACTCTATTTTAGGATAAAATAATTTTCTCCTAATGTATTTTAGGATAGAATAAATTAGCTCCTAATTTTTAGGAGATACAGATTTAATGTTCCATTTGTATAAATGTTGTGCAGAGCCTCGAACAAAATTGATAACAGAACAATTCAGTTCTCTTTTTCGTTCATGGTATCAAAGCTTTTGCTCTTGGGACCTCTTCTTGTCAACCTTCATTACTGATTGCTTTTTTCTTTTCAAGTCTTTATTGCCAAGTGCAATTTCCAGCCTTTATTGCTAATTTTTTCATTAGGCCTTCATTGCCAATTTTTCTTTGAAACCTCCAACATGTCTGAAACTGAACCATCAGAAATCAACTCCAATACCAAATAAGAAGAGACCTCAAATATTCCACAAACATGGGATTTGCAAAGTATCCAGGTAGCCTATAGGCTCAAGGGAAAAAACTATTTGAAGTGGTCACAATTTGTTCAAACATTTCTCAAAGAAAAGGGCAAAATCCGCCACTTGCTTGGAACTGGACCAAAAAAGGGAGATCCTAAATTCACTGCTTGGGATGAAGAAGATTCTATGGTCCTACCAACAGCTAAAGATATATGGATTACTGTTTGACAGACCTATTCAAAGGTAGGAGATGCTGCCCTAATCTATGAGATCAAAACAAAGATCTCAACCACTAAACAAGGCAACCTTTCTATCACTCAATATGCCAATCTTCTGTAAAATCTATGGCAGGAACTGAACCAATATCGGTGTGTTCAGATGTTGTGTAGTGAAGATGCAGCCACCTTGAAAAACTTTATCGAAAAGGATAGGGTTTTTGACTTTCTTACAGGTCTGAATGTGAAATTTGATCAGGTCAGAGTCTAAATATTGGGGAAGGAAAGATTATCATCTCTGAATGAGACGGTATCATTGATCTGAGCTGAAGAAAATAGGCTAGAAGTCATGTTGGAGCCTAAAACATTAGAAGGCTCGGCAATGATTTCTAAAAAGTCAAAACAATAAGGAAGCAAAGATAGGTAATGGGTGTACAGAGTCAAATAAAGACACAATTTGGTGCATAGACTGCAAAAAATTACGCCATACACGAGATGATTGCTTCAAACTCCCAGGGAAGAAACAAGTCCATAGTCGTAAAGGAGGATTCAAAGGAGGAAAAACCCACTTAACTGATAGAGATGACCAAACCCAAGAAATATCCAACCAGGCTGGTATAAGAGAATTCAAGAAAGAAGAAATTGAAAAGCTAAAAAACCTCCTAAATTTCCTTGAAAAGTCCTCTAGTACGTGTTCATTGGCTCAATCAGGTAAGTACCTTAACTCTTATGCTTTAAGTGCCTCAAGCATGTCTTCTCTAGGCTCTTGGGTCATCGACTCAGGAGCTACTGACCATATGACTCACAGCCCAATCAAATTTAGAACATACAACCCATGTCCTGAAAATAGAAAAATTACTATTGCGGATGGATCTCTTATAACTGTTGCAGGCCAAGTGACAGTAAATCTATCAAATTCTTTGTCCCTAAATAATGTGTTGCATGTTCCAAAATTGTCCTCCAATCTCATATCTATCCATCAAATTACCAAAGATCTGAATTGTAAAGTAACTTTCTATTCTACTCACTGTGTTTTTTAGGATTTGGTTACAGGGAGGACAATTGGGTTTGCTAAGGTGAATGATGGGTTTTATTACCTTAAAGAAATGAGTGGCAACAAGAAGAACAATAATCAGTTATCCCTCACTTGCTTCTCAAATAATAAATCTGAAATTTGGCTTCATTATTTCCGTCTTGGTCATCCATCTTTTATTTTACTTAAAAGCATGTTTCCTTCACTTTTTAAGAATGAAGATGTTAGTAGTTTTCATGGTGATACATGTGAAATTGCGAAACATCATAGACTATCATTTCCATTGAGTAATACAAGATCTACTAGACCTTTCTCTTTGATACATACTGATATTTAGGGGCCTTGTAGAGTTTCTAGTATTTCTGGAGTAAAATGGTTTGTCACATTCATTGATGATTGTACTATTGATGTGAGACGGATCTAGACGAACACCAAGTTGAGATGATTGGCGGAACTTTGACCCTTCTAGAATCACAAGCCACGAACTAAGGAGATTCCTTAACCCAAGACTAGGAAATTTAGTGAACCAAAAGTATAGATAGAAGAACGCCACAATCAAGGAGATTACTTGATTGATAAGTTCGATGAACAATTTGAGATTAATTCTCAAGTATTCAAAGGAAATTCTCTTGAGGCAAGAGAGAGTGAATAAACTCACGAATATTTTATAAAAATCTGAATCCCCTTTAATGAATGAAAACCTAGGCTATATATAGCCTTACAAGACTCAAACCCTAGAATGTCCAATGGACGACCTTGCCCTTCATTAAGGGTGAAAATATCTAACAACTAATTGACTAAAATTAAGACTCTGAATTCGGCCAAAGTGAAGTGAAAATTGACCGAAATTATTAATGCTAACAAACAACTAATAATGGTAACTAAAACCCTAATTAGCAAGCTAATGCTCCGTGAACTAGTCTTCACTTGGTTCTTCCATTTGAAGGAAAGTATATAGAGTAGTTTCTCCATTATGTAATCCTTCAATGGTCCTCAAGTCATCACCAACTCATTCTTGAATCGTGCAAACAAGAGTTTGAAGTGATTCTTGAATTCTCCTAGCACGCGCTCTTGTAATTGGACCACTGGGTATTTGCATGACCTGAGCACTAGAAGTTTGAGCAGCCTTGAGCCTCTCCTCATTAGTCCCCTCCTCTTGAAGGTGATTTGTCCTCAAATCAAACTCATCGTCTACATGAAAAGGACTCAAGTCAGATACATTAAAAGTAGCATGTACCCCATACTCACCTGAAAGTTCAAGTTTGTAGGCATTGTCATTTATACGCTCCAGGACTTGGAATGGACCATCTCCCCGTGGAAGTAGCTTACTACGCTTTTTGACTGGGAACCTCTCTTTGCGCATGTGTATCCATACCCAATCGTCAGGCTCAAAGACCATCTTGCGGCGCCCCTTGTTGGCACTTTGGATGTATTGAAGTGTACGCTTCTCGATGTTGGCTCACACCTTAGTGTGTAACTCACGTACATATGCAGTTTTGTTCTTACCATCCAAGTTAACTCTCTCATGAACAGGTAAAGGAGTTAAATCCAAAGGTGTGAGAGGGTTAAAATCATACACAATTTCAAACGGCGAATAATGTGTAGCAGAATGAACAGTGCGATTGTATGCAAATTCCACATGTGGTAAGCAATTTTCCCAAGATTTAATGTTCTTTTTTATAATTGCGCGCAACAGGGTAGATAAAGTCCTATTAACCACTTCGGTTTGACCATCAGTTTGTGGGTGGCTAGAAGTAGAAAATAGCAATTTAGTACCTAGTTTACACCACAAAATTTTCCAAAAATAGCTAAGGAATTTGGCATCCCTATCAGAAACAATAGTGCGTGGCATGCCATGTAATCTAACTATCTCACGAAAGAATAAATCTGCAACATGCTTAGCATCATCTGTTTTAAGACAAGGAATAAAATGGGCCATTTTGGAGAAGCGGTCAACTACCACATAGATTGAATCATGTCATTTTCTAGTCCTAGGTGGTCCAAACACAAAATCCATTGACAAATCAACCCATGGTTCATGTGGAATTGGCAAAGGTGTATAGAGACCATAAGGGTGTACCTTTGATTTGGCTTGATGACAGGTCACACACCTTTCAATGTGCCGTTCTACGTCACTCCTCATGCGTGGCCAGAAGAAATGCTCTTGGAGAATCATTAAAGTCTTGGCAATGCCAAAGTGTCCCATTAGTCCTCCTCCATGAGCTTCTCTCACTAGGAGTGTGCGCATGGAACTCTTTGGAATGCAAAACTTGTCCTTGTAGTATAAGAACCCCTAAGAGATGAAATAGTGCTCACGAGAGTGTCGTGGCAAGTAGACAAAAATCTCACCAAAATCTGAGTCAGCTGCATAAAGATCTTTAAGAAATTCAAAACCAAGCAATTTAGCATCTAATGTAGTGATAAGTGCATACCTTCGTGAGAGTGCATCAGCCACTACATTCGTCTTACCTGTCTTGTATTTGATCACAAAGGTAAAACTGTCAATGAAGGTAATCCATCTTGCATGTCGCTTACTCAACTTGTCTTGGGACTTGATATGCTTGAGCGACTCATGATCGGTGTTCAAGACAAACTCACGAGGGCGAAGGTAATGTTGCCATGTTTGTAGGGCTCGCACTAAGGCCATGAGTTCCTTATCATAGGTTGAGTAGTTTAGAGCAGCTCCATTTAACTTCTCGCTAAAGTAGGCAACTGGGCGACCCTCTTGGAGTAAAACAGCTCCAATACCTATACCAGAAGCATCACACTCTACTTCAAAAACTTTGTCAAAATTAGGTAAACTAAGAACAGGTGCATGTGTGAGCTTGTGTTTAAGTAATTGGAAAAACTTAGCTTGTTCCTCTCCCCAATGAAATTGCACATCTTTCTTGACAATTGACGTAAGTGGGGCAGCAATTGTGCTAAAATCCTTGACAAAACGCCTATAGAATCTTGCCAAGCCATGGAAACTTCTCACCTCACTTACATTGGTAGGCGTTGGCCATTCACTAATAGCTTTCATCTTTTCTTGATCAACATGAATTCCCTGCTCACTAACAACATATCCTAGGAAAACCAATTGATTTGTGCAAAAGGTACACTTCTTAAGGTTAGCGTAGAGGCTTGCCTTGCGAAGTGCATCGAGGACCATTTGTAAATGCACATCATGCTCATCTAGAGTCTTACTATAGATCAAAATGTCATCAAAATAAACGACCACAAATTTACCAATGAAAGAGCGTAAAACATGATTCATGAGTCTCATAAAAGTACTTGGTGCATTGGTTAGCCCAAAATGCATGACCAACCACTCAAAAAGTTCATGTTTTGTTTTAAATGTAGTTTTCCATTCATCTCCTTCTTTCATGCGAATTTGATGGTAACCACTTTTCAAATCAATCTTAGTAAAAATGATAGCACCATGTAATTCATCAAGCATGTCATCCAAACGAGGTATGGGATGGCGGTACTTTACCGTTATGGCATTAATCGCCCTACAATCAGTGCACATTCTCCATCCTCCATCTTTCTTCGAAACAAGTAGAACTGGTACAGCACAAGGGTTTAGACTCTCTTGAATCCAACCTTTACTAAGCAACTCCTCCACTTGTCGTTGTTGCTCCTTGGTTTCCTCAGAATTGGTCCTATATGGTGCCTTGTTTGGAAGGGAAGAGCCAGGAATGAAATCAATTTGATGTTCAATTCCCCTTAATGGAGGCAAACCATTAGGTATATCCTCAGGAAAGACGTCTTGATACTCCTGTATGAGGTTAGTAATAACACTAGGCAAAGAAGCATCAAGAGCATTAGTGAGTAAGGATTCCTTGCCAAATAAAATAAATAAAACCTGATTAGAATGCAAGGCCTTTCTCACATCTTTCACCTTGGCAAGCATGCTGAGTTTTCTCTCCTGTGTGGGCTCGAAGACCGAATGAGAGTGATCCAACTTGCTTGAAGAAGGGTCGGCCAACACTAATTTTTTAGCTTTGGCGTTGTCCTTCTTGGTGGTAGCATGCAAGTCATACTCTTTTTGTAGACTAACTTGATCCTCATGTACTTGTTGAGGTGTAAGAGGTGCAAGTGTAATCTTTTTACAATTATGCTTAAAAGAGTATTTGTTCAAGAAACTGATAGAGTGCAATTTAGTCGGTCTTCTCACGTGCTTTTCCTATTTATTTGGACTAAATACTGCACTAATCGGTGGATTTTACTATGATTTTGTGTTCTATGCGAATTGCAGCATTTAGGGGCAAAAGGAGCTGGAAAATTAACTTTTGAAGCTTTCCTGTCAGTTAGACGTGGGCACGCCTAAGTATGATGTCCAAAGCCGGATTTGCGGGATTGTTGGCCACGTGCAAACTTCCAAATATTTGGAGATTCCTTCGCGGGTGACAATTCTGGAACAATGCTGACTTAGCCAATTTGCACGTGAAGAGTCATTTGGCAACAAGACTTCAATTGGGATTTCAATTGATTGGGTTCCTTCTTTGACTAAACGTGCTGGCCCACAAAAGCAGGAAGACTACTGGGTCTCTTTTGGAGACAGCCGCACGAGGACTCTATAAATACAATCCCTTCGCTGGCTTCAGGGGGGCTCTCGCTCTCTCTCTCTCGGCAGAAACGAGTTTTAGTTTAGGCTTTTAGCATAGTTTTAGTTTTTCTTTTCTTAGTTCTTTTGCATGGTTGTTCTCCATTAATGGAGGACTAACCTCTCAATTCTAGTCAAGGGGACAACTGAAGACTTGGTTCAACAATTACTGTGAGATCGAATTTATTTTAATTGTTTCCTCCATTTATTGGTATTCATATGTTTCCTGCTTTTAATTGTTATAGCTCTTGTGTATGATTGATTAGTGCGCAATAATTAATTATTCATATAGGCTATTTTGCTAAATAGAGGTAATTGAATCCGTAATTGTTCGTTGCCTCTATCCCAGTAGCAACTGGCGTAATTGGGTTTATGTCTTTTTACGATCTAGCTTAAATAAACTCTCGTAGCGTGTTTGTTAATTAGGATTGGGCCTTTCTAATTATTAATGCAAACCGGAAATTAAATCCTACGGTCGTACCTAGGGTTGTTTTTGGGTTAGGAAAATAGTTAACGGTCGTACCTTAGCTATCGATAAATTAAGGAAGGGTAAAATTGACAGGTGCCGAACCTGTGCAATAATAAATACCTACTCGAGAAAAATACAGATTTTGTATATAGCGGTGAGTAGGGTCGAATCCACAGGGATTGGGGATAATTTGTTTCTTCTAGAGTCCAAGGTATAGGGGGTTTTGGATTAAATGCTAACTAAATAAATTAAATGCAGAAAATAATTAATTAAAAGAAATATTTAGAGAAACTCTAGCCAAGGGTATACTTCAGAAATGGTTCATGCAACTGATCATTGATTCAGAGGTAATTCCAACATTTACTAATAGATTGGTTCTAGTTGCCTCGCACGCGCTAAACAACCAACCCTTCCTTAATTTATCGATAGCTAAGGTACGACCGTTAGTTATTTCTCTAACCCAAAAACAACCCTAGGTACGACCGTAAGATTTAATTTCCAAATTGCATTAATAATTAGAAAGGCCCAATCCTGACCAATAAACACGCTACGAGGGTTTATTTAAGCTAGATCGTATATTCCCCTGACATAAACCCAATTATACCAGTTGCTACTGGGATAGAGGCAACGAACAATTACGGATTCAATTACCTCTATTTAGCAAAATAGCCTATATGAATAATTAATTATTGCGCACTAATCAATCATACACAAGAGCTATAACAATTAAAAGCAGGAAACATATGAATACCAATAAATGGAGGAAACAATTAAAATAAATTCGATCTCACAGTAATTGTTGAACCAAGTCTTCAGTTGTCCCCTTGACTAGAATTGAGAGGTTAGTCCTCCATTAATGGAGAACAACCATGCAAAAGAACTAAGAAAAGAAAAACTAAAACTATGCTAAAAGCCTAAACTAAAACTCGTTTCTGCCGAGAGAGAGAGAGCGAGAGCCCCCCTGAAGCCAGCGAAGGGATTGTATTTATAGAGTCCTCGTGCGGCTGTCTCCAAAAGAGACCCAGTAGTCTTCCTGCTTTTGTGGGCCAGCACGTTTAGTCAAAGAAGGAACCCAATCAATTGAAATCCCAATTGAAGTCTTGTTGCCAAATGACTCTTCACGTGCAAATTGGCTAAGTCAGCATTGTTCCAGAATTGTCACCCGCGAAGGAATCTCCAAATATTTGGAAGTTTGCACGTGGCCAACAATCCCGCAAATCCGGCTTTGGACATCATACTTAGGCGTGCCCACGTCTAACTGACAGGAAAGCTTCAAAAGTTAATTTTCCAGCTCCTTTTGCCCCTAAATGCTGCAATTCGCATAGAACACAAAATCATAGTAAAATCCACCGATTAGTGCAGTATTTAGTCCAAATAAATAGGAAAAGCACGTGAGAAGACCGACTAAATTGCACTCTATCAATTACCCCCACACCTAGATCATGCTTGTCCTCAAGTATGAGAACAACAAATCAAATAATCAAATTCAAATAATGGCTATTGCTCAAATCTTCTATTGCTAAGATACAATTAAAACATATGTCAAGTACTAGTGATTAAATTCCAAGAAATATCTCTCCAATTGTCTTTCAAGATCAAGGACTCTTTCAATTTATGACTAACTAATTTAAGAATATAGAATATTCAACTAGCATCCATAAGCAAATGGTTCAACTATTAAGCAAAATCTCAACATTAAAATTCAGGGATCAGCGGGTTAACAATTTATTCAAACACTTCCATATTTTTCACTATTAGCACATATATTTTTTTCTAGAATATCCCCACACATGAATGATGATTTTTTTTTTTTTTTAGGGGGAACGCTTAGTTTTTAGCCATTCAAGCATTTTGACGCGAACTCCGACATTGGCCATATGAAGGAGCCCGGTTACTCAGCCATCATCGCTTAAAAACCACATACTCATAGCTATCGTCGCTTTTTGACGCGAAAGTCGACATTTGTGGTGAAGGACTCCCGGTTACTAGGCAACGATACTAGCGGAGTATAGCCTAATACTATTCATAAATAAGCACCAAAAATAAAATTAAATACCACACAAACCCGCTTCATTTCTTAAACATGGAGAACTAAGATTAATAGCTGAGCCAATTTGCACAAAAAATGCTAGACAAATATTTACAATACTTAGAAAAGTTAACCAAAAAGTGCAAAAGTCACAAAATCTCAAATATTCACCCAAGAGATACCCTTAAAATCAACCATGTCATACTCAACACCTTAAAGTGTAAAGTCTTAGCAATAGAAAAATTTGAAACATCTAACCATCGTTTATCAGGAATAATCACAAATAAGCACAAAGATAGGCAAAAATTGGACAAAATTCGACAAAGTCAAACAAAAAATTCCAACAAAAATGCCTACACTTGCATTTTTTTCAATAAAAAGCCAATATACTACCCCCCCACACCTAAATCTTGCATTGCCCTCAATGTAAGCAAAGAAAGAGCAAAACAGAGATATTGGGGCAACGAAACTTCCCTTAAAACGGAGGAGGGCAGAACTGAATTACGGCTGGAGAGGGAAAGGCGGGCGGAAACCCACGTGATGGGGATACTGTGCTAAATTCTGGGCCATCCCACCCATTTGACGCTCCATCCGATCCATTCGAGTGTCCATTTGCTCTTGCCCTTATTTTTTTTGGTTTAGTCATTGGAAATCAGAGGGCAAGGTGGAGGCAAGGAAATGGGATTCCAAAGAGGTCAACAAACAGCCAACAAAGCAAATGACAACTAAATACAGCTTCCAATCACAGACAAGTGCAGAAACGGCCGATGAACACACCCCCAAAGAATTAATTAAACAGACAACTAGAGTTAAAACTTTCCCCAAATATCACTGGTTGGGCACAACGTTAACCAAATAATCAACAATCAATCCACAGATATGCCACAGCACCCAAACAAGCACAAATTTTCTGTCCTCAACTAGCAAATCAAAAATCTGGCCTCAGCTAAGAAATTAAAATCTGGCATCAGCTAATAAAGAACTAGTAATCTGGCCTCAGCTACTTATTGACGGAAAAATAAAGAAAGAATTCACCGGAGGTTTGGAGTAGGCAGTGGATGACAGTGAAGAGAGCAGGGGTGGGCATTGGAGTGAAGGAAGGCGTCGCGCGTGCGCCGCACGCGCTTGGGCAGGCGCCTTGGGGTCGCTCGCCGATGGGTCTCCCGCGCCTGGGCTTGACTGCGCGGAGACGAAAAGCACACTGCTGCGCCCCTGGTTGAGCGCGCGCCTGGGCTGCTGGTCGCTGGTGCTCTGGCCGCCTGCTGCGTGCGGCGGGCTTGAAGATTGCGCGCAACGGGTGGAGCTGCGCGCTCGGTCTGCTGTGCTCCACAAGCTGGGCTACTGGAGAGCTGGAGCTGAGCTTGGGCGCAGAGGAGGGAGAGGACGTGCGAGAGTTGGTGGCGGAGCTTGCACGCGAAATGGCGTGGAGCGCAGGCGGCGGACCTGAGGCGAGATGCTGCGGCTGACAGCAGGAAAAAGTAGGAGAAAAAGAAAGAAAAGGAAGAAGAAAGAAGGAGAAAAAAGACAGAAAGAAAGAAAGAGTCGGGCTGCGGGTCCTTTGAAAAAATTTTTTTTTTTTTTTTGTGAACTCAAGGAACCCCTGGCTTAGGCGTGGGCACGCCTAACTGCTATATAGTCCGCAGAACCTGAACGAAATTTTCTTTCACTTAGGCGTGACCACCTGGCGTGGGCACGTCTAACTGCTATAGAGTCCGCAGAACCTGCACAAAATTTCTTCCCCTCAGGCGTGACCACCTGGCGTGGGCACGCTTAACTGCCAATTTCCTGCCACAAAACCAACAAATCACTAAATGCAACTAACACTTAACAAAAACTCCAAAAACATAAGAAAACTAAAATAAAGGCCTTGGGTTGCCTCCCAAGCAGCGCCTTTCTTTAATGTCTTCGGCTAGACATTGTCCTGTTTATTCATGGAGGATACTGCTGAAAATTCATTGGCCCTGTTGTATAATCATAACTGGAGTTATCCCACCATCCTTG